TTTTTAAAAAAATTAAAATATTTTTTTTTTTTTTTTTTTTTTTTTTTTTTTTTTGTTACATTAAAATATTGCTAATCTATAAAAACTTTTTTTTTTTTTGAAACTTCATTTTATTTTTTTATAATATGATAGATATATATATATACTTGTATATGTCTTTTTTTTCTTTATTTTTCATTTTTCTCTTCATAAATTTATTAAGAATGAAATATCCTGTTTATAAATTTTTTAAAGTTCAGTTTTATATAATTTTTTCTTGATCTTTTTTGGGTTCTTTTAATTAAATGAATGTTGTTTGTTAAGAAAAAATAAATTGTTTTATGTGATTAATTTCTTTCAAAAAAAAAGTATATTTAATCATTTAATAAAAATAAATGTATTTTCTTCTGTATTTAAGCATGCAAGTTTTTATATTACTTTGAACTTCAGAAAAAGAAAAATAGAAATCAAATATTACTGAATTTTTTTTAAATAATCTTATTTTTATTATTTATTAAGATTTGTATGTATGTTTTTTTCATTAATTTTTATAATTCAAATGTTTTAATGCACGTAATTAAATACACATTTTTTGATCAAAATGCAATTTATTTTTTTTTTAAGAAATATTTGCCTTTACAATAAAGGCATAATATACTAAATAATTCTAAATTAAACTAATAAAAAGAGCTAAAATTATAAATAAATTATAAAATTTATAATATATAATTTTTTTTTTTTAGAAATTTTAATAATATAATATACATATTCTTTTTAATTTGAAAATGAGAGCAAATATTTTTGAAAATTATATATTTTTACAACGGAATAGAACAATTAGATCTTTTCAAAAAATTAGGCTCAAAAATGATTGAAGTTACATCAAGGTTATAAAAATTTTTTTTTGTTGATATTTGATCTGAGAAAATATTTGTCAATTTAATATTTTAATTATATATTGTTTACTATTTTATTTTTTATAATTTTAATTTAATTTTAATTATTTTTTTTTTTTTATCATAAAAAAATTAAAAAATTTTTGCTTTCCAAAATTTACATTTTTTTTTTATTAATACTTAAATTTTACTTTTTAATATAAGAACATTTTTATATATGTAAAATTGCTTTTTTTACATATTTTAATAGGTACATTTTGTTTTTTTTTTTTAATTAAAAATTTTATTTTCATTATTTAATAGAGTTTTATATGTTATAATTAATTATTTCGTAAATTTATAAATATATTCTCCATATTTATGTTACTTGTATTAAAGAACCGTTATCTTATTTTTTCAATTTTTTTTTCTTTTTCTTTCTTGTTTTTTTTCATTTTTCATTTTTCAATTCTTGTTTTAGCATTTTTTTTTTTTGTGTGTTTTGACATTTTACTGTGTTTGTTGTTTTTTTTGTATTTTTTTTGTATTTTTTTTTTTTTTGTGTATATTCTTTATATATAAACATAAAAATTGAAAATGAGTGTTTCTTCAGAAATTAAATATCAATTTGCAAGAACAAAAATATGTAAACATTTTTTGGAAAATAAATGTTTAAATAAGGATAACTGTAATTATGCTCATGTTCTAGAAGAATTGAGACCACTACCTAATTTAATTAATACAAAATTATGTAAAAGTTTAAAAAAAAATGAAGTATGCAATATTCCTAACTGTAAATATGCACATAAAATTGAACATTTGCAACCAAGTACAAATTTGTCTACTTATAAAACTACCATGTGTTACTTTTGGAAAAAGAAAAAATGTATGAATGAAAGCAAGTGTAGATTTGCACATGGAATAAAAGAAATAAGACCTTTAAACATAAAAAAAAAAACAGTTAAAGAAAAAAATTTATTAGAATCAAAAGAAAATGTAGATTTAGATACAGATGAGTGTATAAGAAATCTTTTATCTAATGTTTTATTTTTTGAAAATTTATCTACTATTAAAAAGGATCTTTTAAGTTCTGGTAATGATTTTTTAAATAACTACAAAAATTTTAATTTAGATAATAGTGCTTTTTCCATTTCAAGAGGAAATAATTATTCCAATTCAAACTACACTGAAAAATCAGAACATCATAGTTTAGATACGTTCTTTCTAGAAAGAAATATTCCTAATTTGAATTATATACCCAGTAAAAAAGAAAATGAAAACCTTGAATTGTTATCTTTTAATGATGTATCTACTACAGCAGAATTAAACGATGATGATTATTTTAATGAATTATATAAGTGTATAAAAAAGGAACTATCTAAAAATTATGAAAACATATGTAGTTATTAATTATATCTAGCATTTATATATTATATATATATATATATATAGTATTTAATAAAATTACAAATAATTAATATTCTTTAAGGTGTTTGCATAAAATATTATATCTGATATGAATAGATTAAAAACATTTATAAAGATACATAAAAATTAAATCTAATATATTTTTTTTTTTCACTAAAAATATGATTAAAAAGAAGATAGAAAAAACAATAATACAGTGTTTGAATTTAGAAAAAATGTAAAATTTTTTATATTAAGCAAGAACTGTATATATATATACATATATATTTGTACATATTTGTGAATTAACATATAATTTAAATCATTTGAATTTTGTAAATTTGGAATTATGTAATTCAATTTTTCATCTATATTTTATATTTTTATTATATAATTAGTTATATATGTGCCTAGAAATCTGTTAATAAAGTTGTGGATACCTATATTTATGTTAGATATTCCAAAAAAAAAAAAAAAAAATACATACTTTTATTTAATTTTTTTTATTTTTTGTATTATAGATTGTTCTTTCATTTAATTTTTAAATTATTTATTTTATTAACATTATTTTTAATTTTTTTTTTTTTTTTTCTTTTTGCAAGACTTATATAAAATTTTTTATGTAAAATTAGAACAGAAATAAATATTTTTTTATATTTTATTATTAAATGTTTTTTTTTTTTTTTTGCAATACGTTTTTCTCGGTTTTTTTTTTTTAATATACAAGTTATTTTATTTATACTATTTTTAATTTTTTCTTTGTTTTTACTACATAAATTTATTTTTTGTACTCATTAAATATATATTTTTTAATTGTTAAATATATATAATCATGAAATTATTTTTTGCACATAATTCTTATAAAAATAAAAAAAAATTATTTATGTATGTGAATTTTTTTTTTTATGTTCTGTCTTTTTATTATATTAAAATAATTTACACATCACTCTGAATGCTAAGGAAATTTTTCTCAGAACTAGGAATATATTTTTTTTTAATATAACCAGTATTATTATAAAATATTATTTGATATTGTTTTTTTTAATCTATACATACATCTGTAAATTTCTTTTTCTTTAGTTTGACCGCATATATAATATTTTTTATATACATATATATATGGATCTTTAATATTCTATTTTATCGTTTAAGAACATATATAAAAAGATAATTACCTTTACACAACTCTTTTAAAAAAATTCAATAGAATATTAGATGTAGAAAGATATAAATAATGTCAATAAAAAAAATTAACTATGTTATTTAATATGTTATTATAAAAAAAAAAAAAAAAAAAAAAAAAAAAAAAAAAAA